ACGATTTAAGATTCAGTCATATGTAATTTGTATCTCACAATCACAACTCCTTGTGATTAACAAATCACCAAGACTTGAATCTACGGATTCTATTATTTAATTTATTAGAATATTAATTCAATTAAATAATAGATATTTCCATATATATGCATTGATTATATATATTTAAAGTGTTTATGTCCAAAGTGGATTGGACTAGGGCATAACACTTACAGTCAGTGGCTAGGTGGGGCCACTCATCATTATTCCGAGTGGCTTAATGAAAATTAATTATCCCTTTCTTTTGAGTTAATCCATTCATTGCGCACTGAAATCCCCCATTAAGTCGATCTCAATTCTCAGGTGGATTACATAATTCAACAGTCGTAAAATTCTTTTAGTACGATGAGAGCATGTTTTATGGACACCTATTAGTGTGTATTTGTGTGCATTTTTACGATTATATGAATTTCACAGAGGATAAAGCGTGTGGTTGGATTTACAGTCTGAAGTTTCAACATAATGCCTTATTGAATAAGTCATTTTCAAATGGAATCTCTATTTTTAAAGAGAATATTTTATAATTGGAGAGCATATATAAATTTAGAGAGTTAAAATTTTAAAACAAACTCTTTATATTTAACACTTAATTTTACTACTTCCAAAAAATATTTATTATTTTTCTTTATATTTTTATTTTAACTAGCTTTTATTTAGATTATTTTATTGTTTTCTAACATTGAAAATTGAAACACTTTGAATGCATTTAATTATATAGAGTGAGTTTGGCTCCCCAAATTTGGAGAGCACACACTCTAAATTAAAATGTTAATTTAAAAGTCTTTTAGAACATGATTTTAAATGTCGACTTTTTAAAATAGAGAGCATTTCATATTTAAAAAGTCTCTTGAAAATGCTCTAACTACTCCTCCTATCCCACAAAAATAAATTTATTTTATTTTTATATAGATTAAGAGAATATAAATTATTCTTACATTTGTTATAATACATCTCTACATTAAAAAATAATTTAAATAGAAATAATTCATATTGGTTGACAACAAAGTATGTTAAATAGGAACATTAAAAAACTAAAAAATCAATTATACTCTCAGCACGAAAAGTGACCTATAATTTGGGACATACGAAAAAAGAAAGCAAGCATATCTTTATGTGACAGAGAGAGTATTTCTTTCAAGTACCTAAACATTTGTTGTTTAAAAATATTAAATAATAGATAAAAAAAATAAAAAAAAATGGCAACATTAAAGTGCAAACCAACAACCCCTATTCTAACAAAATGTTGTAAATGCCCATGTGTAGTGTAGTGTTGAGGACCCATAGGTTGACTTGTGATTAGTTGCACTGAAGTCCTTGTGCGTATAATGGTTTGCTCGTAACCTATTTCAATATTGATCTAAAACCATCTTTTGAAATGATAATTTCAACGAGCATGATTACTCGACATCTCATCCCCTACTATGAGTGTAATAATTGTTGATCTTGAAACAATAATCAACAAATTCTTCTCACCAATCAACGATTTTCTTCTTCTAAACTTAATCATTCAATGCTAAACTAGGAGTTAGAAGAGAAATAACTATTTGAAAGATGATACTCTGATTTGCATATCTTTCTCAGTTCCAACTTTGCTTATTTATAGATTGCTACCAAGGTCTTGGGGTAAATATGTCTTTTATGTTTGAGCCACATGGTAACCATTGATTTGTGAACTTATAACGGAATATGTTAACTTTTCGCGTTTTATTCATCTTTCATGAGTTCCTCATTCATTGGTTTTGAAATCATGCTTTACACACATTCACGTGTACTTTAATAACAATTTCTGTTGATATGGAGTAGTATGTGAAACCAGTTAAGTACATTTGTTCGCTTGCACTTTAGATTGATTATAAAGCCTCAAGTCACAATGCTCGTTATTTTTATCGCAAGCTCGCACATGATATTATTTTCTTTGAGAAAGGTTCACTATTAATACTTCTATGAATTTTAATTGTCATATATTTGTTAATAATTTTGGGTGTGTTTGTCTCTCATTATTGAGAGAAAAATAGAGTAATGAATAGTATTATTTGGAGAATGTGTGGTTGAAATTTAAAGTAACTTTATTGGTTTGTGTGTATAATATTTTATTGGTTGAATGTGTGGTGGAGAATCTTACTTTAGCAAAAAAAAAATTTGGAATAATGGTAGACAAACAGGGGCTTTGTTCTCAATCAAAATTTTTGCTAGAGTTGTAGATCTTTTGAGCTTATGGCAAGGGGTGACAAATAAAGTAGGAGCGTGTGGAAGGGAAGCAAAGTTATGAGCCATTTTAGCAATCAAGTGCTGATGAAAACTGTCGATTGGAGACCAACTTGTTACAAACTAGTCCAATTCTAGCAAAAGATAAATCAGAGAATTATTAGGGGGTCTCGCAAAAATTATGGGCACTAAATTGCTATATAGGTGGAAAAGATTGGGAGACCTCTAGTGACATTAGTCAGGTTGATCTAACAAGCAGTGCTCTAAAAAACTCACCTAGCACCACCTATGCTCGAAACTAGGGCAAAACACACGCATTTTTTTCCAATTTATGAACGGTTGAATTTTTTCCCTTACACTCTTTTGTCTTCCCTATGCATGGTTTATTAGTTTTTTTACTTTTTGTTTGAAGTCTTTTATTTGACTTTACCTTCTTAATTTATTTTTTACTTGTAAAAAAAACTTTTCATTCAACTTTAATTTCAAAATTTTAAAAGATTTTATTTGTGCAAGAGTTAAAAAATGACTTTATCTAAATAATTAAATAAAAATTAAACTGTGGTGATATCTAGATTATGTAATTATGATTTTGAAACACATTATTTTGTTGCAAACTCTAAAAATATGTATGAAATTCCTATAAATCTTAAGTAGGAATTGTCTAATTGAAAATTGAAATTATGAAAAATATTCTATTTTTTGCATTTCGAAAACTTGAAAAATTGTATAATTGACCAATGATAGGAATCATTAAATATAATATTTTATAATTATAGATGTTTGATATGAATTATTTTAATTATTAAATGATTTTTAAAATGATTAAGATTTTAAAATAATATTCAAAATAAGAAAATATTTTTTTTCGCTTAAACTTCGCCTAGGTTCGTTTAATTTCGTAAAGCTTGAAACTTCACTTACATATAATCATGCTTTACGTTTTTTAGAAGACCGCTATAAAGACAACAAACTTGGCATTAAACTTGGCATTTATGTTTTTCGAGTCTTGTCAAACCAATAGTACAATACCAATGTGTCAGTATTTATGACCAACCTAACAATTATCCAAAATCTGTCCACGAAGTCACTTTCACTAATGTTTTTTTATAAACTAATTATAGAACTAAAATTGTCAACGAGTGATTCTGTTTGAGTTAATTTCAAAATGGTCACTCAAATTTGTATAAAAAAAAAACTCATGTTAGTTAAATGGTCGCTAATGTATTTTTACCATTTAGTCACTGAAAGTTAATTGACATTACAAAATGGTCACTACGTGAATGTATCCAATTTTGACGCTTGTATTTACTGTCTGATTAGATAGTCCAATGCCACTTCGAGCGAAGGCATTAATCTTTTATTTGCTTATAAAGAGTTACATGTTGCAAAGAGACAACACTTGGTTGAAAAGGTATAGCAACTAGCAGGCGGGAAGAGGTTTTCTTTGGCCGGTTCTTGCTAGCATCGATAACGATTTGAGACGGCTTGTTTCCTCTTCAAACCAAAGGGACTAACACATAGTTGAAAAGATATATATATATGAATTCATAATGAACAATCGCCCGTTAATCAACCTTGGTACTTAACAAGTGGAACTTACTTTCACTATTTGAGTGACCATTTGTCTTTCCACACGGGTACTACACCGTATGAGGTCATGTTTGCACGATGTAACAACCTTTTGCCACCAAATACCTTTCTATTAATCCTATCTAATCCATAAAGGTAAAACAAAATAAAAAAGTCACAATTCTAACAATTCTTGTGCATCTAATCAAGCAGATATAGTAGAAATTTACAAAACAGAGAAATATGTTTAAAGCCTACAAAGCATTACTCTCTGTACAGGATATGAAACGTATCATTAAATTAGTTCCCAGTTAAGAGTCCAAAAGGGCTCTTCCCTCTCCACCAATCTATAATTACCCTTAAGACAACAATATCTTGTAAACTCAATAGGAAGACCCTTCGAATGTCAATCACGCGACGGTATCCTAATGCAAAAATATCAGCAAAATGTCATATTCACCTAGACACTTACAACTCTAATGCCACTCAGTTTTATGCATTCTAACCCCCAAAAAAATAGGATTCTAGTAATCGATCTGTTTTGTGTGGCCCAAGAGAATTTCAGTGTGTGTGTTTTTAGCCATACCGAATCCCATGAAGTAGTTGAAATCATGGTGCTGGATGTTTAATTGCTTTAGCCAAGAATCTGCCACGCTCAAAAGTGATACCAACCTCTCTTGGTCCCTCCCATCCTTGTCCGAGACCCACACATCACCTCGCATCTTGTAGGTGGCCATACCAAATGGAGGGAGAGAGATGCTTTCTCCTCCCTTGCTTTTCCCTTCACCGCTCACGGTGTCGTCCTCAATGTCCATGTCTGTGGATTGGTATGAGCACAAAAAATAAGCATTTCGTGCAAGAAAGATTTGTAACATAAAGTGAAAGAGACAATAATGAATTCACTTGGACCAAATATGCATACCTTGAAAAGAAGAAGAAAGGGTGTGGTATGTGAGAAAGCTTGTGTTCAAGTCCTTGGAGGTTCTGCCCATGGGAATGTGATAAATCGGATACCTGAATCACACTCATCATCAGTGAATTTAGTAACCAAACTAGGGAGGAAAATGTAATATTATAAGCTCTGATGATAGAAAAAAAGCGAGATACGAACCAAGCAACTGCCATCCAACTAGCGGGTGAAAGATCTGCACTTCTCAATGACAGTAATCTAGGGTATCTTTCAGCTAAGGCACTGATCTGTGAAATAAATAAGATTGGTGTCAAGTCATGTTTTGGCATGGAATGTCAAATAATGAGATAATATATCAAACATCATGTTCTCACTGAATCATATTTCCTGCTCACGGAAAAGGAATCTCGTCAACGTGCAAAAGCAAGAACATATGCTTGTGAAGGTGAAAAAATTATATGCCATAAGAAAAAGTAGTTTCTAATTAAATCAGAAGACAAATAAAGATGGCCTATAACAGGCAGCACCATGTTGATTCATTTTTAAAAGTCAATAGTTTCAGAGTATCTTTATTCAATGGATTCCTATCAAGAACATTATTTCAAGTGATTTTATCATATCCACAATAATTTGCTTCTTTTTCCATTCTCCACTAATATTTATTATCCTTTTTTCACCCAAAAAAACAGATGATATTTGAACAAAAATCTTGAACACTAAATAAGGTTTACCTTGTCCAAGAGAGGAACTCTTCCATAAGGAGAAGATGTCTCAAAGTACTGGAAGTAAAGATTACCCAACCTATCTTTAGGGTGCCAGAAACCATCTTGCTCGAATAATCCTTCCTCAGAGGAACATCCATCCCATCTAGAGAACTTCTCACTCTCGCTTTCATCGCTGAACGAGTCACTAAACGAATCCCTCATCTCACTTGTGGAATCAGTTTCTTCCCTACAGTATAGGACCAATCCAACATAATCATCTTAGAGCAAAACCATGTTAACCGCTGTCCTTTTATAAGCATTTTATTTGCCTCCAAATGTCCAGTAATTAACAACAAATTACTGAATTCGACAAATACAATTTGCTGCTGATCGAAATACTTTCAACCAGTGAACAGAAAATATTACTCGTTGAAAAGTTATGATATTCACACAAAATTAACGAATTAGGCCTAACAAATTGGGGATTTTTTGCAGATAAAATGCATGTATCAATTCATGCAACTGGTAAATGTGAAAAAGATAACCCAATTTGCTCGGGGAATTACCTTAAACTGTTTACAGAACCATTGCTGGTGAAGATTTGTATGCCAGAGAGATAAGGCACAAAATACTGGATTAAATTTTGGCCATCATCAAGACTAATTGGAACTCCAACCCCATACGCACTCCATTCATCATAACAATTCCAAAGATCCCCTAATGTAAAATAATCTACTTTTTCTCTTTCCCATGGATGCCATAACCTATTCAGCTTCTTCATCTCACTCTGATTTAAATAAAACGAACACATCAATCAAAGAAGCAATACGAATGAATAGAACCCATAAAAATTAAAGAAACATACCTTAGATAAGAATTGAGATGGTATAGCTGGAGTTATGCAATCCAAGAGGCATTTAAGGTTTGTTTGGGTTGAATTCTTGTCAAGGATCGACATGATTCTTGAAACCCAGAAAAGGAGAGAGAAAAAAATAAGAGAGATTTCAGTGTTTCTCTCTCCTAACTCCTGGAAACAGAGGAGAAGGAAAACAAATACAGGAAAGGAAAAATGAGAGAGAAATCAACGGGATTTCCTTTCTCTTTTATGGGGGGAGAGAACGGAAAACCGGTGCAGAAAGGAAAAAGATTACTATTCTTCGACGTTTGGACAAACAAATACAAAAACTAAAAAGTCTTCTCAATTTTGTCAAATTCAATCAAACATTCTTCACAAATCCTGCGGGATTTTCTCTCCCTATCAAAACCCAATACAATTGAAACCAAAAGCAACCCACAAACCCAACTATTTATAAACACTCTTATGATATTGATTTTCACCCCCAAAATCTGTGTGTGTGTTTGAGAGAGAAGGTTTTTACGAGCCAAGAAAATGATATGATTCTTTTATAGTTATTCTCAACACTCAATCAACAGAAATCCATGGCTACTGAAGATAGGGAATCAACTCTTTTTCATCATAAAGCAAAACCATTCACAAACTACTGTATATTTGCTTTGGAAAGGAGGTTCTGTTCTCAAATGCGAAATGTCTGTTCGTTCGTTTGTTTGTGAGGTTTATGTAGAGCGAAAGAGACTTGGAAGATTTTTCATTTATGGGACCCCTAACTTGTCTGACTTTGAGACAGGACAGCCAAACATACACAGTAGTAGATTTCGACTTACAAATCTTGACTCGTATTAAAGGCTCTTAGGGTCCGTTTGAATGTACAGGTAAAAATGGGTAGAAAGAAAATGAATTTTAGAGAAAGTAATTGTCTAGAAATTATTTTATAGAGAATTGTTAATTAAGTGTGTTTGATTGGTGGAAAATTATAAATTTTTGTGTTAGTTTGGCTTCGTTTTATATGGAAATTGTGCATTGAAGCGATAAATTTTTCCTCAATTGATTATAAAATTTGTTTCCATTTTCAAAAAGTAAAAAAAAAAATGAAAAAAATTTTTTTACCTAAAAAATCATTTATTTCATCAAAGTAGTGTTCGTTTGACTTTATTTTATATGAAAATTGTCCATTAAAGTGAATTTTGTTTTTCTTTTTTTACAATTGATTATTAAATTTGTTTTCGTTGCAAAAAAAAAAAAAAGCAGCAACAGCCTGGAAAAACTTTTCCCACAAAAAATTTGTTTTCGTTGCAAAAAAAAAATTCAGCAACAGCCTGGAAAAACTTTTCCCACAAAAATGGTGGGAAAAAGTTTTTATCAATTTTCAAGAAAATGGGTCACGTAAGCACCCCAAGTGGAAAATCAATTCCCAAGAAAATTATACCTATCAAACAACTAAAAATGTGAAAAATGGAAAAAAAATTCCAACTTCCAAAGAAAATAGAGACTATCAAATACGGCCTTAGAGTTTCCCTACTCAAATATATTTTCGACTTGATCAAATTTTAATAAAAATTGATGAAATGTGTGGTTAAAAAGTCGTATTTCAATAAAATACATTGTTAAACTTAAAATGTTGATTTTAATAAAAATTTAGATTTAATCCCTAACTCTTATATATATTTGTCATTAATGTTGGTATTTATTAAATCCTTCATTTAATTGATTTTCCAGATTTTAATGGGGAAAATCTAATGGTTGTAATACTTACACAAAGTTGCAGTTTTAGTTTGAAAGAACTTGTAGGATTATCAGTTTTTTAAATAGCGATTATGATAATAATAATCAGATTTAAATTTTACGTTATACATATTTTTTTTTTAAAAATGTTAATTATTGTAACTAGCTACCATTTATTGAGTGAATTTAATTTTTGAAGTTTATTGTAGATTTGTTAAATCTTTAATGAGATGTTCAACTTATAATCAATCAGGTCACATATTTATTTGCAAGTTTGAATTGTTAAAACAAATCTCATATACAAGAAAGAATAGGTCACTAAAATTTGACTAGGAGCCAAACAGAGCTATCTTATTGCTTCTAAAATTGAAATGCAGTAACTCGCTTGGAATTATGTTGAAAGTTGCAATTAGTTAATCCTTTGAGCGCCAGCATGTATATTGCATAGGATGATAAAACAATAACCAACATTAATATTTATTTTAATGTATGGTCAGGTGCGAACGCAAACCTTAAGAGTTAGGGGGCACAATCAAACTTGTAAAGAAGTTGGGAGAAATTTTACAATTGAAAATTTACGTTCAAAAAAATCATATCCCATATAATTTTACATCCGAAAATTTATATAGGATATGACTTTTTCGGATGTAAAATTTCGAAAATTTTTGATGTTATATTTCATATAAAATTTCCTAATAAAATGATGAAAATATATTGAGAAATTTGTATCGTAAAAATAATAAATCTTATTGAAATAATTGATTTTTTAAAAAAATACGAGTTAGACGTCTTTTTTTAAGACTCATGTTTGACGTATTTTTAACTATTTTCGATATTTGTTTGAACTATTCGATATGCCCATGATGTAATTCTCGAAATAAGTTTTGAGATGACTTAAGCAATTTGTAGATTCGATTAGCGTACGATCGTCGGAGAATTTTTAAAATTAATATGTTATCGAAATTCAAATTTATTGTGATTTTGCCCATATTTGGTGGATATTAAAATCAAATTTTTAGTACATTTTGATAAAAGTTAAACAGTTATGGATTCCATGAAATATGTTATTAAAATTAATTGTTAACTTTGATTTAGA